ATTTTTCCAATTTTTCCGTCGATTTTTTGAAAAAATGAAAATTTTCCCAAGACGTCGCAAATTTCACATCATTTTGAGTTCCCTGACGCGAGGAATGCATCGAACGCATTGAAAAACATGCTAGAAGTTTCAGAACCGAAATAATAGACATTTTCGGCACATTTTTAGCGTTTTTTGAGCGTTCACGATCTTTAACCGGCGATTTCTTTCTTATTATTGACCCGAAAACTATATAAATACATATTTGTGAGCTTTTTGCGACGAAATGAAAAATTTCTCAAAAAGTCTCAAATTTYASATCATYTTGAGCTCATGAACGCGAGGAATGCATCRAACTCATTGAGAAACATGCTAGAAGTTTCACATCYGAAATAATAAACAATTTCGGCAAATTTTAAGCGTTTTTTTGCGAGTTTACGAAAACCCGCTTGTCAAAATTGTTCATGTTTACTATAAGCGGCCGTCATTTATTCGCATTTCTCGCATAATAAACGTGCGCGAAAAGTTTATATAACGTCGCGCTCCCAAATACCCTTTTAGACAAACATCATTATTATTCAAAACCCCCGCATACAAATGGGCGCGTTGGAAAAGTATATAACGGCCCCCCGATCCGAGTTTAGATATAATAAAACTTTGCCAAAACAACTTGTGTATTCATAGCCGACAGTGTGATAATGTATCATTTTTTATAGCGCTCGGGTAATCGGAGTTTTTCAAAGAAATTGGACCGTGAAGCCGCCCTCCAAGTGGGGTTGTTCGCGCCCTGCATCGGCTTGGATACAATTGATCACTGTGGGAAAAATTAAATGGAAAGCGCAAGTTCGGCATTTGTCTTTCGTCTTCTCGGGGAAATGTGAATCGGAAATTAGACCATCTCCAGTTCAGGGAATAAGCGCGCACTCATTACACGTGCGGATTTCCGCTGCTTTCGCAACTTTCTCCATTACTTCCATGGTGTATGTAGGGAATTGTAAATGTGCCGATACTTAAAAAAGATTTTCAACTGCACTTTTATCGCTCCCGATTCACATACTGTCAGTCAAATCAGTTGCGTCCACCGACTTGACTATTGGCAGAATGGATCGCGTGTCTTCTTCCAGTTTCCATTGGCCCCATTGATTTGATTTAATTTCCATCCATTCGCAGGACGGTGGGGAAAAAGCCGCTGATTTATGTGCACTCGTAAATATCGTCACTTGCAGCGTATAGTCAACGGCAGGAAAAGTGCGAAAAGCTGCAACACTCTCACGTGCTTCCTTGACGTGGCTCTTCATCATTTTCGCCGGAAAATCGCGGACAATGCTGCAAATTCAAAAGTCCAGTTTTTCCATTAATCAATTGGATTTCCATACAAATGTGAGCATTTCAGGTTTCACTTTGAAATCGTGGAACTTCTAGGGTACAGGGAGACTTTAAAGGCCGTTTTCCTTAATGAACCCTATCACGTTTCTTCCCTGGCCGCGTTCTCCGTTTGGAAAATCCGTGAAAATATGATTACAATTCGGTATTTCGGTCACATTGTTACCTTTGCAAGTCAAAAGGTTTTCTTTTTATTTCCGGTTCGCATTTGTCTAAAATGATTACGCCCGCCGATAAATTCCCCGAATCTATATATTCTTTGTTCTTGAGGGCGAGCATTTTTTCGCAAAATAGGTGGAGTTTTCGCTTTGCTGAACTAATAATTTAAACGTGAACCCGAAGACGTGAGATAAATTTCGTATTCTCGAGGATCGAAGGGAATTTTCTATTCCTAGAATCGAAACGTTCTCCGGGGGCGAAATTTGAACACTAGACGTTTAGAATTCGGTACGGCGAGTTTGAAGCTTCAATCCATGTTTTTTCGAATTCGAATTCAAATTGGCTTCTGGCCCGCTTTGGCCATCTATGCATTATTTGCACTTTTGCAGCCCTTTTCCCTCCGTGCAAATCGATGATGAAGTACGCATCACTACATAACTCTTCTCTCTAATTGCGGCCAGATGCCGCTGCCTGTACAGAGACTGCTTTCGACATCATTGTCTTCAATCTAGTGTTACAATCGCAAAAATTGCAGACACATGTTGGATTCATTGTGAAGGCAATCAGCACTCATTGGAAGTGGTTTCCTCGTTATTGAGCCTTTTGTGCGGTGGAATTTGCCAGGCAAAAGCCCCCGTTCTTTACAGTATGCCATCCTTAGTTAATTTCCACAGTGTCCGTACGCCGGCAAAGCACTCCGTTCGCTAATTAAACTAATCGAGCCGAAGTTGGAAACTTCGTGTGATTATCTAAAGTTCCCCCGATCGAACCGACGCAACTTTCAAAAGAACCCCGAGCACAGTAACGATTGTTTTTCCAGAATGGATATGATGGCACCGGCGTTCTCTTCTTCCGCTTTAATCGAATTATGCCAGCAGGGATTCGAAAAAATTATCGCGAATGCTGGAAAAGGGCAGGCCAGCTCTTTGTCGTTCGATCCCTTGCTGCTGAAAATATCATTTGAATATCTGTTCCAGCCGACTGTCGATATTCGCGTTGAGGCCGCCAGATTCACACATTTTCCCAAAGTTGATTCAAAGTTGCGAAACATGGCTAACTTCTACTCATTAAAATGGTTGGTTGAAACTGGAAAAGTCCGCTGAAGTCGGCTTTTTCGTTCAATTGCTATTTTTGGAACTGCCATGGACCACTTTTTCCTCTGCAATAGACGAGATTCTGAAATGCGCCAACCTCAGGCACCCCCAGGACCGGTTTCGAGCCTATTAGCTCTCATCAGCTGGGTTCAGCCTGAAATTAGCGATTCCGAAACCTGCACTTTATAATGCCAATGCATTATAAACCGTGCTGAGCTGATGAGAGCTAATAGGCTCGAAACCGGTCTTGGGGGTGCCTGAGGTTGGCGCATTTCGAAATCTACACCTCCAAGGCACCCCTAAGATCAGTTTCGGAATGGCTAATTTCAGGCTGAACCCAGCTGATGAGAGCTAATAGGCTCGAAACCGGTCCTGGGGGTGCCTGAGGTTGGCACAATTCTAAATTGCCCATTTCAAAAGCTCACGAGGGCTCTGCTGATGCCGAAAGCCTTTCATTGACTTTTTCCTATGTTTATGTCAAATTTCAAAATGTTTTTGGACCTCTAAACAGACTTTACCTGACCTAAAATGAGCGTCTGCTGGAGTTTTTGCCATTTCCTGTCGCTTTGTATTTAGCAAATTAACTTATAGCTTTTGGCTCCTTTCGCTCCCTACCTCTGATATCTGCCTCCTCAATCGGGCAATTTCGGGCCTGACAAAAGCTGAAGGCAAATAATAGATCTCATTAAGTGCCCCCAAAGAGCAATAAAGGAATCCGAAATTGAATGTTTTTAATTCAATTAACAAAGCTTTCGCGCCTCTATTTGTAGAGGAAAGAGGTTTTTCTTCTACGCTTACCGATGGCTTCGAGCCTAATTAGAGCGAGCGAAAACACGGCTGTTTCTTTGCATTGGACCGACGTCGATTCGAACACATCGGCCTGAACATGGACGAGTTTTTTAATCAGAACCGTCGATGGGACAATGGGAGTTTAACGTGGCCTAAATATTTTCCATCGGCCGTATTTGTAGACGATTTAAAGATTAATCACCCAATTTGCTAACAGCTTTAATGGAGCGGACTAAATCGAGGACATTTTAAGATTATTAAAGTTGTCCCAACAGGAACATAAATTATGGAAATTCGTCATGCATTATGCATGTATGCAATGGCGAGATCTACGCGGTTAATAAACAAGCAGGTTGAATGTGGCCGAAAAAAGCCTATCAACTTAATCAGGAGCGAAAGCCGGCCTTCCTGCCCAATATCCAAGACATAATCCCGGTTTCTTTGTTTGCGAAACGGCTTTTTCGGACTGGCAGCGGAAAAAATCGTACCATATTCGAGGGAACACGTTTGCGTAACTGGGCGGTCCTGCAACTCTATTAATGCGGACATTTGTCAAGATTATGTGGCCATTTTCGCAAATTGGCTCCGGATTTGCAGGACTTTATTGTTTTAGTCGGTTCAATCGGTGGGAATTATTGCCTGGCATGATTCGTGTGTCGGGGCACAAAAGTCTCCGCACTAATTGATAAGCTTTACCGTAAACAAGTCCGATTA